ATCCTATACACATTGTTTTACATGAACAAAGATTTGTATGTCTGTAGTCTGACAGAACAAGGAGTTGGTTGGCATTATTGAGGATATAAAAAACTATACACACACAAACACACACACACACACATTTACCAGACACTGTGCATAGTTAAGGTATATATACTAGTTTAAAATGGAATTTCTCTTTAAATATGTTTTAAGTTCACTTAAGTATTTTACTTTACTGCATATTTCACAGATTTTTCTTTTAATTTCCTATTGCTTTTCTTGTTAAACCTTATAGTTTTGCCTCCTTTAATTTTACATGATGTTTGGGCCACAAAGAGATACAGGATAGTATGTGTCTGTGCATTAATTATAGTAAGTTAATATTGATATGAACAATTCTTTATATCAAAAAATAATCCTTAGGTTTTGTGAAAGTGGGTCTCAATCATTGCATTGCATAGTTAAAGACTAGCAAAGTGAATTATTTCCTTTTAGTATTATATAGTTAAGCATCATCTTTTTTAAATTAAATGCTAATATAAAAATATCAGAGATCAGTAATTAGTTTACTATCTATTCACTTCTTAAGAAATGGAACTTTTAGTTGAACATACGGTCACCTCCAATAAAGACCATAGTTCCATCCTTCATACCTCCATTCTCCTTTTCAGTGTAAAGGGGCTTTGTAATTACACTCAGCTAATGGGATATAAGATGTGTTTAAGGTTTGAGACCTGACAGCTTGAGAATCTTTTTTTTTTTTTTTTGCTCACTAGTGAGCAACAGAGAGAGGGAGAGGAGAAAGAACCTTTTGTGGGAAATGATCAGGTCCCACAACATCACTTGTCCTCTTTCTCTCCTCTTTTCGGAATTTTGTCCTTCCTTTCAGAATTTTGGACACCCACGTCCACGCGCTGGGCTTGGGATTTCTACTAAGTTGTCGGCCATTTGGGAGCCAACTGCCTCATTCACCAGGCTAAGGATCTGACCTCAGACACCTTCTTAAAGAGGCACTGAGTAGCCTTACTCTTTTCCTGTGTAGTTACCTCTAGCACAGATGCCCTTCGAAACGTTGGAAGGAGGTTCAGACTAGCTAAGGCTGAGTAGTAAACTTGACATTCCAACAGGATGAAGAAATGGAGAGGAAAGGATTGAGACATGGCCACACTCTATTGTGAGGTGCTTTCACTCTCTCTCTCTCTCTCTCTTTACAGTGAGTGTCTAAACCCTCTGGCAAAAAATAAACACAACAAACAAATAAACTCTGTCTTAATACAGACATATTATCTTAGAATAAGAATAAGGCCTCATTTTATAATCAATTAAAATTTTTCTTAAGGTTTTCGCCAGAGGATCCATGCATTAACTAAAGAGAGACAGAGAGAAGGTTAGTGAGAAATCACCCCCAAAGGGCATGGCTACACCACAACCCCTTCTTCATTTCCTCTAGTGATTTTGGGCATGCACACATACATTCACAGCACAATTTTCAAGTCGCCAAGTCCAGGTCCCAAACTGCAGTTTGGCCACCTAGGAGTTCAGCACCATAACCACTACGCCACATGCTGGTGCTAAAGAGTCAATTAAAAACTGTTAGAGAGAGTGTGTACTTGTCAGAGAGAGAGATACTGAGGAAGTGTCCTCCCTTCCCATTGGGGATGGTCAAGGCACAAGTTTTCTCCAATTTCCCCTCCTTTTGGGAGTTTTGAGCAAATACACACAAGTGCTTTTTTCAAGCTGCTGGATCTAGGACTCAAATGGCATAGTCCACCACGTGAAGTCCACGTTAACCATTGAGCCACTGGCTGTCCTGAGAGTATAGTTTTGATTAGTCAGTCAAGGGGAAAATTTGTAGTGATATCGTTATTGGTCAACTAACTCTGGCTGTTGCTTCTTGAAATCAATGAAATGAGAGGCAGAAGCTGGAAAAGAAGGGAATTTATTGTTGTAACTGGTTAAAGGGAGATAGTCAGCAAGCACCATCAAACTTAAAAAGCATGTTCTCAGTATTCATAGGTACAAGATACAGGTACATGCAAACCATTCCTCACTTCAGTCAATAAGAATTGATTGCTTTCCCCTGAGTAATTATTCTGATTCCTGTTTTACTTCAGTTGCCCATTTTTGGTTTCTCATCTAACCATTCCTTTAAAAGATCTCCCTATGACTCAGCAGTTGGTCAGATTGTCCTTGTTAGAGGCCTTTCTTAATTTCAAAATGGCTGAAGTTCTGCTAGACTTTAAGCTGGCCTGTGTCAATACTAGGAAAGTGAAAGTTTCATTTTAATCTGAACAAAAGTATAAGTTTTCAAGTGTGAGGGAGCTTTGCTTTGTCTTGAGTTTGGCACTATAGTTCTTTTTCTCTTCTCTCTAAGCTCTTTTCTAGGGTGACCTTAACCAACAGATTTTTGAATCTATAAATGCAGATGAGTCTCAGAAAATGCAGATGAGTCCCAGAATTACAGGTGTAACACCTTCTTTTCCCTGTACTCCAAAATTGTCTATCTACTTTCCAACTTCATGCATCCATTTGGTTTTCTCATAATTATTGTCTACAAAGCATAACAATAATGCTTAATTTTAAACTGCTCAAGAATGATCAGTTTTTCTCCATCTTATCATAACCAATGTATTACCAATTTTTTTTTAATTTGCTGGGGGGAACGTGTGCTCACCAGAGAGAGATGGAGAGAGATAAAGGAATGGTGGGGGGGAGGCAAGTGAGAAAGCATTCCCCATGGGGTATGGTCAAGCCATATCCCTTCTCCTCCATCTTTCCCTTCAGGTCTTTGGGTATGCATGCACAAGCGCCAAGTTTGTGTTTCAAACCACTGGGTCTGAACTTGAATTATGTGGTCGGCCTTGTGGGACACAGCCTCCTTAACCATCACTCCACCAGCTGGCACCTATTATCAGCCTTCAGTGAGTTTATTTGTAAATAATATCTTGAATCTCTTTCCCATGACTACTACTTAATAAATCCATACATCACCCAGGATAAATAGAAACACATTTTATCCTAGCTACCTTTTTCAAACTTTACCTCCTTTTAATGTATTCACTACACATTAATCCACTCATTTCCTATATTTCAACCAGAATGATATTTCCATAAAATAATTAGATTTGGAGGATATTTTATTTAAACCTGAAATGGTTTCCCATTAGCCTTAGAATAAAATCAAAACCTCATAGAATAGTCTTTAATGCCAGATATTAACTAAGGCCCTGTTGGATGCCTTCATTTCCTGAAATCATTCAATGTACTCTCAAAGTCTGATCATATTGACCTACTTTCCAATTCTGCTCAACTTGATTTCATTCCGGTAAGACCTGCTTTCTCTTTCAAACGTATGTATGTCTCAGCTCTTAGTATGTTTGGCTACTTCTTGTCATTCACATATCATATTGAGTATTACCTCAGTGAGGCTTTCCCTGAAAATTAAACAGACTATAACCATCCATGCTTTACCTCAATTAACATATTTTATTTTTCTTATGTAATTCACTAATACGGATCAATCTTGATATATTTAGTTTGTTTTCATTTTCCTCTTAATAGAAGGTAAGTTCTACAAACATAGTGATCTGATCTTACTCATCTCAGTTTCCCCTGTATCTCATGTAGTGCTTGACAAGCAGTAAATCAATGAATATTTAGAACAAAGAAGTAAATTACTTGGATATATGGTACCTGTTGTCCTGAAATTTGAACTGCTAACTAAGGATGTTGTCCATACTGCACATTACTAATTTTGTCTCTGTAATAATAAGATAGACAATAAAAAGTGTTTCTACATTTTATGTTCCTTTTGACTGATGTAAACAGTTTTGTTTCTTAAGAGAGAGAATATTCTCAGTTTTCCATAGGCAAAGTCACTGGGTTGATGCACTAACCAATGTCAAGTTTACTTATTATTAGTAATTGATTAAAAGGCAGAGCTAACTTTCCACTGAGCTGAGAAGGGTGAGGATTAGAATGAAAATCTGTTTCTGGTGGCTGCAATTCCTATTAAAGCTCTCTTTTGTGTTCTCATTTCGGATGCAGTCCAACACAATAGTAAATTTTATTCTTTGATTTTTTAAAGTAACTCAGTTTTCAATAAACATTCCCACTTACAGAGGTAACCATATTTTAGGACTCGAATCGTGGCACCCAGTTCTCTACTATGCTTTAATGCAGTTAATCCATTCTTGGATAACCTAGCATTAATTGTAGTTTTCAGCTATGTTTAATGATATTCTCTAGTTAATTACATGTTGATATCAGCATAATAAAGACATCAGTGGCAATATGTGAAATATGCTTTCTATAATAATTTACATTTAACAAAAGAAGCAAAGAGTAATATTGACTGCTTGAAACTAAGTTCATATTTTGAACTTCTTTTTTTTGATTCTTCCTATACCCAATCCCCTATTGTGTTTGCTCTCTCAGTCTCCAGAATCATTTGTAATTGTTGATATACTTGGACTTGCAATTTAAGTAAATCCAATTTGTAACACTCAGATATATATTATATTTTAGTTTATTTATATTTTCTTTTTATTTTGATTAATGTTTGGCATATGTCCTAAGTAATTCACGTTTGAAACCATGGACTTATCTTTAATTCATCCTTAAATTTATTCTATTTAATGAATTTTATTTTAAATGTTTCATTGATTTGTGGTTCTATTTTCACTGAAGTTCTGTTCGTTGTTTTATTTCATTTTATTCTTTTTGTTCCCTCTGCTACATTTTGTATTATTATTTTCTATTATTCTGTATTCTCTGTCAATTTTAGTAGTGTATTATAGCATAATTAGATATATTTACTAAGTATTAACTTTCCGGCAATGCACTCCAATACTATATTCACTAAAAATGCTATATTCTTTAAATGAATATTATCATCATCATATTGTAAATGAGAAAAGTGAAATGCACTCAGATGTACACAATTTGGTTTTGAATATCTCACTCATATCCACTATGTAATGCAAGGATATTATTTTTCTTAGAAAGAAACTTACCTAGCTCTTTGGCTTCTATAAGGCAGGTGACAGGTTCTCCCTTCTTCAATTTAGGACATCAGAATTAGGGAGTTTCTCATAGCCTATATTTGGGGACAAATTGCCAATCAAGTTAAGAAAATCTAAGAAGTTTCACAAAAGAAGGTAATATGCTATACTAAGCCTGGAAAAATTTAATTACAAAAGATATCTATTTCATTTAATAATCAAGATACACTTCAGTCACACTCTACATAGCCACTCTTGGGGCTGTTTTAGAGCTGATTCATTGTAGTTTAAGTGCTGAACAGCAAGATATAATTGGTAAAGCTTATCTGGTACTTAGAACACAGCAAAATACAAGAATTCACAGTAAGCAGGAATAGCCTCTTCTTTTTATAATACATTCTCTAAAAACAGTAAGAGAAAATCCAATTTAGCTTACTGACAGATAATTTTAACTCCTTAGATCGTCTAAGTTCATTTTCCAGTGGTACAGCTTTTCAAGAAAGAGATTTAAATTAATGTTATTGTATCCATTTAAATGAATAATTATTAACAAAATTACTTAAATTGATTGTCAACAACTTGAAAACCTAAAAAGGTAAGGAAGCCCAGGTCTTTAATATTCTCTTATTTTAGACTCTATAACCTTCAGATGATCCCAATATAAGCATGTGCTCATGCACACTAGTATATGCATGCACATGCACATCAATAAAGTAAATCTAAAAATCTTGGGAACCAGCAGTTAGTGTAATGGCTATGTCACTGGACTCCCACGTAATCGACCGCGGTTCACGTCCCGGACCCGGAGGCTCAAAACCCCTGCCAGGCGTGTGTGTGTGCGTGCCCAAGAGCCCAAGAGGAGAATGGAGGAGAAGGGATTGTGGCGTGACCATCCCCCCTGGGGTGTAATTTCTTGCTTTCTGTCTCTAATGTCTCTCTCTCTCTGTCTGGCGAGTGCATGTGCCCTATAGCAAAAATCTCTCTCTCAAAAAAAAAAAAAATCAATGTAAAAGAATTGTTTCATGCAAGAGTAAATCTTTGAACTTTTCAAGAAGGTGAAGAAATAGAACCAAAAACCTTATGGGAAACAATATAAGCATGAAAAAAAGTCTCTTTAATTATATACTGTGTCTCTATAGTAATTGTTTGATTATTGATATGTTTATTGGCAAGACTTGCTATTGGAATATACTCAGAGTTCTATAAATAAACTTTCATTTAACTATAAATATTCCAAACACTGACTGACTTATTTGCATAAACAAAAATCAGTATTAACATGGTATCTTCTTTCACACTATTTTAGTTGCTTAGAATAAGAGACTAGAATTTAATTAACCTCTCAGAAATAAAATATTTAGTTTGACAATAAAAGTGGAATATCACCTTGTGTTGTATGATGATGCCCAAGCTGTAAATATCACTGATGGTGTGATTTGCAGAGATAATCTAAGTCCATTTAAAGATGCACAGAAAGAAGGGACACCTTCAGCACTGAGAGATGACTTCTAATTATTTGTCGTCTTGTCCCCATCACTGTGCAGTTGCATTCAGAGGCTATTGGATCATAATTTAGTCTTGGAATTGAGTGTGTATTTCATCTATGGGGCAAAATCTTGGAGAAGCTGCTTATGACCGTGAAATGCACAGAAAAATCTGGCTCAGCATTAAATATTTATTAAGTCTACTTACTTACATAAATGAGACTCTTTATTAGGCAGACAACAAATTGGGCCTCAAGAGCTATTTATGTTTATACTTTCCTAGGTAATTAAATAGGTTTCCTTGTGAAGTTAACTATAACTTTCACCGATCCAATCCCAAATTAAATCCAATGAATTTCCCACCTACTATATATTCAAGATTCATGAGGGCAACACTATGTTAAAAAGTTACCCAATCTTTCAACATGGGATAAGACAACCCAGCACTCAGTTAAGATGTTTCACTTAATATGCTGCCTGCATATCAGTATAAAACCATTTGATTGAAGAAACATTTTTTTGTTTAATTAAAACTTCATATTTTAATATTGACTGTGAGTGAATATAGCCCAAAAGCTATGATTATAGGCACTAGAGGAAGACATACCAAATCTAAATCATGCCTGTAGCACTTTAAGTTGTATGATTATAAGAGAATCATTTACACATTTGTAAAATGGGATAGAATTTATTGTCTACCCTACAGGCTAGTTGGAAGACTCACTATAGATTCATAATGAATATGAATTATCCTTGAAAATTGAGTAATAAGCTTGTACTTTACAGTCACTCGTAACTACTTGTCTCTCTCTCTCTAGTTTTCTAGGTAGTTGAGGCACTGTGCTCAACTTGGTTGACCAAAGATTGAAGTCAACCAAATAGAAATGGCAGAGAGGGGATAACTAGACATATTATCCCATTGTAGTCCTTCAGAGAAGTCCACAATGAGTAAATACTGCTAAGAAGCCTGCCTGAGTTTGTTCTTGGACACTTGTGAAGCTTGTGTCAACAGAAAAAATAAAAGATCATCCTACTTCACATCTTTCCTTGCCTCATTTCCCTTTTAGCTCCACCATCACCATCTTGCACTAGTGCTGTCCAAATAGATTTTCTATATCACACAGACTAAGACACGTGGTTTAGAGCAATAGTTTATTATATTTGTTAAACATTATTATTTTTTTTAAGTTGGAGTATGGTTTATTAAGTTATAAATGAGAAAATATGTGTCTATATTATGAAATTAGTTTTATGGGACATTAATGTGGCATGAAGGTGATCGTTTCTGAATAACTTTGACTTATATAGGATAACTAAGCATTAATTGCATCTTCTGTTTGTGTTTTATGATGATTCAGTAAGGCAATAAGATTCACTGTTAATTCCTATGCAGATATAATATGAAATGATGAGTACAGTTTATTTAGCATGCTCTTGAATTTTTAGTATTTGCTGACTTCTATTGAGTATAAAACTTATCTTTAAGCCATAATCAGTAGTTTCTTTTTCCTTCTTATTTTTTCTTCCTTCTCTTTTTTTTTCTTTCTTTCTTTTTTCTTTTTCTTTTTTTTTTTTAATTTGCTATTGAACATGTGTGCTTCGCAAAGAGAGAGAGAGGGAGAGAAATAAAACGAGAAAACATTCCTCAGGGAGATGATTATGCCACAATCACTCCTCCTCTCATGATTTTGGGCATGCACATACATACATATGTCATGTTTTCAAAACTGATAAGTCTGGAACTCAAACTGCTCAGTTAGCTACATGGGGTAGAGTCACCTTAACTACTATGCCACCAGCCATCAAGAAAGTAAATTTTTTTCTGTACACAAATTATAGAATAGACAATTGGGCATGGGAGGACAGATAGGTATTGCTAAATTGTAGGTTTATTTAATTATTGTTGTTGTTGTTAAAAAATTTATTTGGGGACCAGCAGTTGGTGTAATGGCTGTCGCCAGACTCCCTTGTAGCGGACCCTGGTTTGAGCCCCGGACCTAGTGGCTTAAACTCACACCGGGCACGTGTGCATGCTTGCCCAAGATCCTGAGAGGAGAATGGAGGAGAAGGGATTGCGGTGTGGCCATCCCCTCTTGGGGGTAATTTCTTGCTTTCTGTCTCTCTGTCTCTCTCCATCATTCTGGTGAGAACATGCACCCTAGAACAAAAACCTCTCCCCCCAAAAAAATTATTTTATTGGGACCAGCAGATGGCATAATGGTTATGTCACTGGACTCCCACATAGTTGACTGCAGATTGAGTCCTGAACCTGCCAGCTTAAAACTCACACTGGGTGCATGTATGTGCATGCCCAAGATCCCAAGAAGAGACTAGAGGAGAAGGGATTGCAGCATGGCCATCTCCATCGGTGGGGTGATTTCTCACTTTCTGTCTCTTCAGTGAGTACACATGCCCTACAGCAAAAATCTCTCTTTAAAAAAAAGTATTTTATTAGAATGAATTTATTTATTTATTTATTTATTTATTTATTTATTTATTTATTTAATGACAGTGAGAAAAGGAGAGACAGGCACTCTCCACCACAAGTCTTCACGTCATGATCCTAATCTCAGCTTTCTCACTCAGGTTACAAGTTCAAGGAGGTCATAGGATCCAAACCCATGACCTTAACTATGTGGGTCAAGTTGCAGTGAACCACTTCACTACACATTGCCTGACCCTAAGAACTTTCTTTTGTAATAACCAGTAGAGATTTTTCTGATATGCATCCTTTATGTTATTCAAATTTATTATAAAAAATTACTTTTTAAGCTGATTGTTTTTATTTAAAAATTATCTTATAGTGTGAAAACCATAATTTGTTAGAGTATGAAGAAGGAAAATTTGTGTAAGGTGATCTGTCACATTATGGAACCTGTTCTTTCCTGGGGGTGGCTCTCCTGAGGAAGGAGAGCATTTATAGCAATGATGCTTTCCCCCATGGGCTAGAGATCAAGGGAGAACTGCAACCCTGTAGAGAGTTAAGGTTTACACAGGTTACCTAATTACATGCTGTTCAGCCTAACGAGTGTATGAAGAGAGGTGAGCCAGACAAAGTTTCTTTCTTTTTGCTTATTAGATCAGATTGAATTTCAATACAAAGTTTGATATTTTGCCATGTCCTGGTAGAATGACTTACTTGTCTACTTTAGACAGAATCATTCTAGGTAACAACAGAATGAGGTCAGAATAATTACAATAAGCTAACAATCTGAATAAAGGTTTAGATGGGAGCTAAAGAAATATAATCAAGTATAAAATAGTGGAGACCTTATGAGAATTTAAAATTATTTAAATATTTATTTCTTGTCTACTGCTTCAATGGTAGTTAAAGTCAGTTGAAACTAGACACAGTGGAATGTTCTGCTAAAATGTTGTGCTCAACAGACTGGGACTACATGGGAGGCCCAGATCCGTTTTATTTTTTGTTGTTGTTGTTTTCTTTTTTTAAAAATAATTATTTATTTAATTGTATTCACTCATTCATTTACTTTATTATTATTATTATTAAATTTGACTAGAGAGAGAGAGAAAGGGAAAGTGAGAAAACAAGCCTCCAGGTCTGGGACTTCAACTGTGGTTGGCAATGTGGGAGTGTCCAGAGCCTTAACCACCATGCCACCTGCATTTCTTTTTTTTTTTTTCTTTTAAAAAGTTATTGCCTTAGGGGCTTGCACTAGCCAAAGAGACAAACAGACAGAGACACAGAGGGAAAGTGAGAATTCACCCCCCAAACCCCTGAGAGAGGATGACCATGCCACAGCCCCTTCTCCTTCATTTTCTCTTTTATTATTTAATTTTTTAATTAAAAATTTTTTTTTAAATTTCATTTTCTTTCATACATTCAATCACACTATTATTTGTTTTACAAAATGGACATTTCAACAAGTGAACATTTCTCCCTAGTACTGTTGATAAAACTACAAAATATCTTCAACAGATAATACCACACCTCTTTGTGCCATTAATGCTTTGCCTCCCTGTCCCTCCCCCAAATGTCCTTCCTCAGACCCTCCTCTTTCACACACACTATATCTGGTATTTACATCTATACACTGCGTTTCTATATCCTTTAGACAATTAGTTTCAGTCATAGAGTTCAGACACACACACACCACACACACACACACACACACACAGTGTGATTTTTAAGCCACTGGGTCTGCGACTCGAACACCATGGTTGGCCATGTGGGAGCCTTGTGACGTAACTGCTACATCATCTGCTGGCCCCAGAGATTCAATTTCTAGTTCTACTTCAAGCTGGCTGTGGTGGTTTCTACTTGTGACCCCAGCAACTTGAGGGGGCTGAAGCAGGAGGATTGTAAGGTCAAGGCTGGCCTGGGAAAACAAGGCACTGTCTAAAAAGGGGTTGAGGGTGGCACATGAACCTGTCCCAGCTGGGATTCTGAGACAGGGGGATCACGACAGCAAGAACCTGAGTCTGAGTAATGCATAAGAATAGTTTTGGAGGCCCAAGGTCAAGGGGCCGCTGGTGGGAGTCTTCTTGGTTGAGACCTAAGGTGGTTCAGGGCATCACATACAATAACTTGAGCAGAGTCAATGATATTTTAAATCCATTTTTTTTCCTTCCTTCCTTATTTCTTCCTTCCTTCTACCCTTTCTCTTTCTTTTTCTTTCTCTTTTCTTCTTTCTTTCTTTCTTTTTCTTCTTCTATCTTTGTAGTCTTCTTTTGTTTACTTTAAGAGAGGATCTTGTCCTGTCACTATCCTTCTGCCTTAGTCTCCTTTTTTTTTAAGATAGGGTCTCACTATGTTGCCCAGGCCAGTCTTGAGCTCCCTAAACTGCTGTGATTACAAATGCAGGACATCTCTCCTGTAATAGATCAACACTCTACTCTTGTTCTTCCATGTGGCTCCAGCACGCAGAGGATAGCATCTTGACTGTCCCTGTGGCTAGGCCACTGTTTAATTTTTTTTTTCCCCAAGGTTTTTGTCTTAGGGCACTTGTGCTCTCTGGAGAGAGAGAGACAGAGACAGTGAGAAGAAAAGTGAGAAATCACCCCCCAGTGGAGATGACCATACTGTAGTCCCTTCTCCTCTATTCTTCTGGAATATTAGACACACACGCACACGTGCCTGCCATGAGTCTCAACCCACCGTGTCTGAGACTCAAACCACAATTGACCACTATGCCATCTGCTGACCCCCATATTGTTTAATTTTTATAGCAGTCTTTTATAAACTGGAGTTTTATTATTTTTGTTAAGCAATTGATAAAAATATAAGTAGATGATATTGTTGCATGTTTTTGTAATTAACCAAAGGGCTATTTACACATAGAAATTGTCAAATCATATCATGTCTTCAAAATTTTTTTAAGACTTTGCCTTATCATGATAGTTAGCAAGTATTAGTATTTTTAGTTAAAAATATATAAAATGTTTTATGTCATAAGCATTGAGGCAACATTAGAGTTAAAGATAAACAAGATATCTTGAGAAATATTTAGGATTTAATTTACTTAAATTCTTCTAATACAGAAATATTCAGATCACTAATTAATTCCATTTTATTTATTCACTGTCATTAGCCATAACTATTATATAATTCAGTTCATTTTAACTGCAACCTTTTTTTTTCCAGCAGTACATACTTCTGTAGTTTTTATAAGGAAAAAATGAGTGAGCTGAATAATAACCCATATATTAATTAAAATGACTATTTGTATTAGAACAATGTATTGGAGAAAATCGGCAATGTCCTATTTCCCATTTGATGTTTCAAATGCTTGCAAGTTTCTTTGGGAGAGAGGACAAAATAAAAGAGCTAAAGATCCTAGAGGAACGTGAAACATGGAGTAAGTAAACGAAAGATTTGTTTCCAAAGGGCAGAGAAGACATTGGTGATTGAAGAAAATCTTTCCAATTCCTTCTAAGGGAATTGGTGGCACGTAATATTCTGTTGACAAATATGGATATTTTTCCAACTTATAAATCAGATTTATCAGGTAACTAAAACATAAGATTATAGTACTAGCTATATGTTAGGTAATATGTAATTAATATATGTATTTTTGCAGTAGTTAAATATAAAGACAGGAAAACACTCCATTTACCTTTTAGTTCATCTTCTTCAGTTAGTTCCAAACTCCTTTTGCATCTTTCGGTTTTGCATTACCCATTTCAATAAGATGGGGAAAGGAAGAGGAAAGGTTGTTGGGGGAACTAGAAAGAAAATAATGGGGAAAAAGTTTTTCCATGTTGTAAATAAGATTTTATTTTAATTATCACCAAATATAATCTTCTTTGTTTCTTTTAAGCATCATTATTAGTGTTGTTGTATCTTTAACATTGCACATAACTGAGAGCTCTTGAGCTCTCAATGAATATTTCTGTAACTTTTCATGTGATAAAAAAATGGCTAATAGTATATCAATGCTGCTGAGTAATGTGCATTTACAGATGAACCGGTTATGTATACATATTGAGTAAATGATTGCATTTACTCAGCCATCTGTTCCTTAAATATTAGGACTTATGCACAGCTTCAACATCTGTGTATGCACATATATTTTTGTACAGTGCTGGTAAAATGCTGACAAAAGTGGAAAACAAAAAAATAAACCAATGGGATTTCAAAGGACTTCACTTTTTCTGGATTTATGTAGATTTATCTCCTGCTTCTAAAGTACATCTGTTGTATTTGCTGAAGTTCTAAAACTAATCAAAATGTTTTGGAGAACAGAAATGCATTTAAATTAAATTTCAAATGCTTTGTAAATTCACAAATTGATTTTCAAACAGATGTACCCCATTGAACTAAGCATTTTACTATCAGTAGGATAATTTCTTCTATGCAATACACAGCTACCCCGTTACTTAAAGAAGAATCACTTTTAATAAACCTTAAAAGATTAAGGCAGTCACTTACTGTGCCAGCATTTTTTCCAATTAGGAAAAACATTGCACCCAAATACACACCATCACTCAGATAAAGGAACAAATGTAATTTCCAAGATCAATATCTCTAAAGAGCCTAACGAAGGGACATGGAGTTTTCCTTATACTTGCAAATTAACAGAGAAAAAATAAAGGAAATAAAGGAAGCAAGAAAAAAAGAATAAAAGGAGGGAAGAAGGAAGGAAACACATGAACAAAAAGGGAAGAGATGAAACAAGAGTGAGGGGAAAAGCAAAGGAAGGAAGGGTGAGGATGGTGGGTCACGATGTCAAAGAAGGAGAAAAAAAGAAGGAAAGAGGAAGTATTGCAGAGAAGGATGGACAAGAGAAATGACAAGGCAAGAAAGTCTAAAAGAATTCACAAGAACTGAAATAACTAAATGATTTGTGTCAGAAAAAAGTATTTAGCATGAAAATGTTACAAGTGAATGTAAAAATACATAGGCCTAGAAAAATATTGGAAGCAATCTTAATGTACTACCTTTTGTATATGAATGCAACTTTGATCTTGAGCACAAGGAAATGAAAATGGTACATTTTTGAAAGAAATGTCACATTATGACTGAATCATACAGAGCACAGAACAATGTTCTTTAAATATTAACCAGGCTAAGTTATTTTATGGCCAACAGAGAATGACAAAGTAAATGTGGTAAGGTATCAATGTGGTTCCCATGAAGACAGAGAGAAAAATATAGATCGTGATTTGACATTATTGTCATTTGAGTTTGTAATGTACAACTTCTTGAGAGTAAATAAAATCTCTGAAGTATTCTGAAAATTCATTCTTTAACTGTTGATAGTTATGGTAACATGTAAGAGATCTATAGGGTAATCAGTAATATTGCAAACTAAATGGAAGTTAAACAGTACTGTAGTCTCACTCTACAGAATGCAAAAGATTTTTTAAGTATTCAAACTGCATATTAAGTATTTAGCCATTTCCTTTAAGTAATTCTCACTGCTAACACCATAGGGGAGTTTGTCATTAATCTTTAATAATCTATAAGGACAATTATTGTTCATCACTAACTCATGTATAATTATATATGGTTAATCCCACTTTTAACAACATGGCATTACTGAATAGTATACATGACTTGATAGATAAAAGTATCTGGGAATTAATTCCATGAACTCTGAAAAACTCTCAGGGCCTTTAGCCAAAGTTAGAATTCTGCTGGGAGAACTGGATACTCTTGAGTTTTTAAATTTTTTTTTTTTTAATAGGAATCCAAGTTATCACCTGAAACCTGTCCATCAATCTTATATTTTGCTTTGAAAGAAAAACCTCACGTGTCCTGGAGATTTTGGAAATGTCTTTATAGTCTGCGGGACTCTGAATATAGGTGCATCCACAAAGGGCATTATGGAATACCTTTCCGTCAGCCATTTCTTAGGACGCAGAGCCATGGGTTCCATAAGGAAGAGCCAGACAATGTTTTTCTCATTTTAGGTCTATCTGTCTTTTATTTTTAAATTCTAGTATTAGATTATTTCTAGTCTTAGTTGATGGTGATTTTTGTGAACTTTCATCTGTGTAATAGTATGATATGAAAGACTGCAATGAAAATGGAAAATTGTATTACTCAGAACTTTCTCATGTACACTTTTAACTGTCCTCAGATATCTTTCCTGATGTTAAGGTTGGAGAAATTAATGACTTAGACCTAGTCTGTCTTTTGATTTGTTAACTTCTCACCAAATCCAACTTCTCTATTCAGTACTGTTCTTAGGGTTATGAGTAGAAGGTATTTTCTTAGAGTGGATATTTCTGATTTTTCTTGGGCACCTTAATTTAGTTGCTGCCTTATTTCAAGACCCAGTTTCTATAGGGTTTATCTACAATACAGATTTGCTTTTTTTAGAATTTTTTTTTGTTTGCTATTAATCACCAGGTAAATAATTTATTAGCAATGATAAACTTTTTCTTTTCACATAATACTTGATTTGATCTTATGCATTGTCAAGGCTGTAAATATCTGTTAGTTATCATTTTAATGACTGGACTGATAGACCTTAATACTATTGGAATTTTCGAGATATATCTAATCTCAACTGGTCAAATTATCCCTCATTGAAATCAATATAATACAAAGGATCCCTGGTGAATGCTCTGGTATTAATCCTAAATGTCGTCATCATTACTTAAATACTAATATTTTTAAAAGATTTACATAAATAAGTTTCCACAAGAAAATAAAGTTTAGAACCACAATACTACTTTGTACACTTAAGCTTTTGACACATTTTAAATTAATTGATTTTTTACAAGGTGATTTTTTTTTGACATGTTTTCGCTATAGGGCGCGTGCACTCGCCAGACAGACAGAGAGAGACAGAGAGACATAGAGACAGAAAGCGAGAAATCATCCCCCACGGGGCTGGTCACGCCGCAATCCCTTCTCCTCCATTCTCCTCTCAGGATCCTGGGCATGTACGTACAGGCGCCTGGCGTGAGTTTTCAGCCACCAGGTCCGGGACGCGAACTGCGGTCGACTTCATGGGAGTCTAGCGACATAGCCATTATGCTAACTGCTGGTTCCCTACAAGGTGATTTTTTTTCTTTAGAAAATAAAATTTCATCTGGAAAAGGAACTCCAATTTTTGTAAACCAGGAATTTATCTGTAGTAATTTCTATGATTTTGTAAATTCTCCACAACTGCTACAACTGATGATTTTTAGAGTAGTTGCTACATCTATATATTTATGACTTTATAGATAAGCATATGTGAACAATGAAGCAATATTATTGATACTAACAAGAGGAAAACCAAATATTAACTAAAATTTAGAAGCAATAACTATTTAAGAATTTAGGCATCTGACTTAATCTCAAGAGATATGCAAACATATCTCATATTGAAAACAATATTGAGTAGTATTCTGTAGTGTTTATGTTTCACATTTTTTTCAGTACATTCATCTGTTTGTGGACATTTGGGTTGGTTCCATGTCTTAGCAATTTTGAATAATGCTGCAATAAATATGGATGTGCTAGTGTTTTTCTGACAGTATTTTCCTATCTTTTGGGTAGATATCCAAGAGTGGAATCATTGGATTTTATTGTAGTTCTATTTGTAGGTCTTTGAGGAACCTCCATGCTGTTCTATAGAGTGGCTGTACTAATTTACATTCCCATCAACAGTGTGAGTATAAAAGCATGGAGAGCAATAATGATATTGGAGACAATGGGGGAGGAGGGTGAGAAATGGGAGAGAGTGAGAGGGAGGGAATCAAAGGAAAGAGACCCAAAAGGGAAAGAAATTTGTTAATTATATGTTTATGGTAATGTCTTTGACTGGACCAATATGCAGTGCATTCCAATGGAAAAATTTATTTGATATCTTGTAATGATATATAATGATTAAGTATATAAAATAAAAAATGCTGATAAATTTAAATAATAAACATATATATATATGTATATATATATATATATGTGAAAATTTGGTGTTTTTTTAAATATGGCATGCTATATCAAGAGTCATAATCTTTGAAGAATAATTAATATAGGGGAACTTTTGTTGTGTGTATGTGTGCCTTTCATTAAGCATGAAAATAATGATTTGCCTTTATCATATTTATTATGAATGGATCTATTGTAATATATTCAGTTATAGACATTCCAGTCCTAGGAAGACATAGATAAATGAAAAACAGGAACTCACCAAAAAAGCAATAGGATAAATTGAATGAATATATTGACAAATGAGAAGGGATTAAAATACTTCATATTTTATGAGCTAGAGTGAGTAAACAGGGCACACAAAATCTACTTGTAAATATCAAGTACTTATAAACACAGATTAAGGTAATGATTTCCAATTTGAGAGCAAATACAGGAACACTGGATAAGAAAAAAAAGGACAAAAAGTGCATACTGTTTTAGGGACAATTACAGTACATCAGAGAGATGATACACACATACGAGTGTCACTTTAGAGTCACAGGGAGATATATTCCAAGACTCCTTAGTGGATGCCTGAAGCCGTGGGTAATACTTAACATAGTACATACTTGTTTTACATATATACACATACTATATCATATGTATATACTATGATATAGTTTATAAATTAGACACTGCAAGAAATTAACACTAACTGGTAATAAAATAGAACAATTGTAACAATATGTTGTAATAAAATGTATGTGGCTGTAATCTCTTCTTCTCTCATGATCTCAAAATATCTTACTTTACTCTACCTACTCTTCTTGCATTGTTGTGAGATGACAAAAATGTCTACCTGATGAGATGA